AAAAATGGGAGGTGCAAAAATATGTTTTTTTCTTGTTTTTTTTTATTTTAATAGAGAGGAGAGAGAGAGACACACACTTGGGGGAATTTATCAAAACTGGAGCAGACGAAAACTGGAACAGCTGCGCATGACAACCAATCAGCTTCTCTCTTCAGTTTGTTCAGTTAAGATTTGAAAATGAAACAGAGACGCTGATTGGTTACCATGCACAGCTGCTCCAGTTTTTATCTGCTCCAGTTTTGCTAAATTCCCCTCACTGTGTGTTGGCAGCCTTGTAAGTAACAAAAAAAGTTGACTTTTGTTGAAGGGACGTGTTGGAAAATTGTCAGATAAACAGTGAGATTGAGATATTAGAAACATTGAAAATGTTTATTTGATGCTGGAAACACAATAAAGCTGAATGCAACCAGTTCCAAACAACAAAACTGATGTGTGGACTCTCAGGGGTTCATTTAATAAAGGCAAATAAGCTCTTCGCTTTGCAAGAGAATTTTCAGTTTGCAAGGGAATAGTCCCAAGCTTAGTGAATACGGTGGAGCTCTTCTAAGTTCACATGAAAGCAAAATACTTTATTCAATTTTCCTTGCACCTGATTGGTAATTCTTTGTAAAGTGAATTTTTACCACATTTACTAAGCTGAGGAAAAATTCCCTTGCAAAGTGAAAATTCTCCTGCAAAGTGAACAGCTTATTTGCGTTTAGTAAATCAACCCCTAATGTACGTACAACCAACCCAATTGAGTACAACTACCCCAAGAGACAGTGGAAGCAAGGTTGCAATCATCACACCTCCTAAATGGCACTTGTTTGCATCAAAGTCAAATACTAAATGAGTAAACCCTCAGACTGTAAGGTGTTAGGAAGAAAACAGAATACATTTGTATTTCTCCAAAAAATGCATGCAACACCAAGTTCTAGACTGCACATACATACTAGAGAACATGAGTGATAGAAGTATAGAGGACATATTTATGACTAAGGAGGTGTACACAGCATGTTATTGCACCACCAGTTTGACAAAGCCTACAAAACCTCATAAAACTCTAATTAAAATATAAAAACTGAGCAACAAAGACAATTATAGATTTTGTCACCACAGAGACTAAAAAAAATAGGACAGTAATAAAGACAATGGTCTCTGGCACCCCATCAAACACAAGCTAACAAAATAACTAAGGCAGAAACATCTAGCCTCCTTAAATCATGTCAAGTATTTCCTTGCCAGCACATCCTCTATGCCAAACCTATTCTTTGTGCCTTTCACACATGCTTACATGACACACTATAAATCTGGCAATTACGTGGCTTTGGAATCAAGTCAGGCAAAGCTAAATTTAATCAAGACAGACAGATGGATGGGCAGACAGACAGACAGCCGAGGAATGGAAGGGAGATGATACATTTTTGGAAAATAGATTTATTCATAAAATAAATTTGTCAAATAGCTTTTGTTTGTGATGTCTAACACCTAAAATCAACAGAAAACGGTGTTTTGAATTGCACTTTGTTTCCAGCGTCACACAGTAGAAGAAAATATACAAATAGGTGTTTTATCTAAAACTTGT